GTGAGCAAAATACGCAACTAATTGTGACATAATTACTTCTGAAAATAAAATTTGCTACTTTACAATTGTACAATTTATTACTCAAACTTCGTATTATCTTCTGACAAAACGAAGAAACAGGTAGAAATAGACACTTTTAGGATGAGAACTTTTAATTAAAAAATCTTTTAATCAAGTAGAAATTTGATGATCCTGTACTGACGTAATGCTTCCATACAAAGTTATAAGGTTATCATATATCGTCAAAAGAGAGAAATACGAGAGTGCATTGTAGAACGACATTAATGCTACACGGTGGAAAAATCTGAAGACGCATGAAGGATAGAAAATAGTAAACTTTACTTCGTCGTTTGCGGTAAAAAAAAAAGAAGAAAGAGTTACATATAGCGTCTGAAGGACTAATGCGAAAGAATGGAAAGAAGGAGAAAAGAAAGAAAGAAAGGAAGGAAAATTCTTGTACCCTGAATCAGAATGTACATCCAGTTTTTGTATTCACAAAATACCTTAGAGCAAAGCGTAGATGAAATGGAACAAGCTGGTGAATTTAAGCGAAGAGGAAAAAAGAAGAAAAGACGGAATTCATGAAAGAAGCGAAGGAAAACTAAATGTTGAGTTGCGATACAAATGATTTTAAAATGCTTCCCTTGAAGTATACGAGAAGAAATTTGAATTATTTACATTCTTACTGGCGACACTTTTATAGAACAAATATACAGTATTTTTTTTTTAGTCTTTCATGTTGTTTTAATTTATAAAACTTCTATCTAGCGATACTTTCGTGAAACAAAGATACAGTATCTTTTTAAATTTCTAATATTTTATCATTTTTCTACGATTAATGACAAAAATGAAGAATGAAATTTTTAAGTTCTTTCATTATCAAACAAGGAAAGACAGAAATACCAATTTCTAATAAATTAGATCATTTTACAAATGTTCGTTCTACTTTACTTCGAAAACAATTCTTCTTAGGAAAAAATGACGACGAAATTGTTTCAAAATCAATGATTATTTTGAAATTCTAAACTTCTTTTCTTTCAATCTACCCAATCGAATAAAGATAGAAATACCGATTTTCAATTAATTCCATCATTTTCCAAATTTCCTTCTACTTTACCTCAAAAACAATTCCTCTCTAAAGAAAATGACGACAAAATTTTTTCGAAATCAACAATTACTTCGACACTTCAAATTTCTTTTCTCCTAATCAATCCAACTCACCACACACATACACAAACAAACACCACCTCCCTCGTTCTTACACAACGAAAGAACCACACATCGAGAAATCCCAAGGAACATCGATCCCCAGTCATACCTTGACCAATCCAATTCAATCCTAAACACTCCTCCTAGCAACAGCCTCCATTTACATCCTCCATCCTAGCGGATCGTTCCTCTAGAACAGCGACGGCCATTTCCTCCGACGTACCTCGAGAACCTTATGAGAACGATGATGCAACCATGTTCGTTGGAACTTCCACCCCAAAAAAGAGGAAAAAGAAATAGGAGGAAGAAGAAGAAAAAAAAAGTTATTCTCTACTGAACGTCATATGAAGACAGAAATACAGTGGATAAAAATAGGAAGGGAAAAGTACAAGGGTGAGGAGGAGGAGGATGGACGAAGGGAGGGAGAGTGTGAAAGAAACGAGAAAGAGGGTGTGCGATAATGAAGGGGGAAGGGGATTAAAGTGATCCGGCGAGAATCAGGGCGAGAAGACAACGTGAGTTACAAGATTTATTAGATCCCTGTCCCGAAGTCTTTTAATTACGAAAGAATAACGTGACAAAAAACAAGAATGATTTCTTCGGTGGTAAAATCGGAGGGATGAGATGGGATATTCTGGAAGTGTAACATTAACCGTTAACGAGTAGTTTTGATATCGGCATTTCGCACACCCGGTAATGGGCTGGTCGCTTGCAGAACACCTTAAAGACGGTAAAGTGGGCATTAAACTGTAGATGAAATAGCCCTGGGGAAGATAAGGGACAGGGGTGGCGGAAGGAACACCGCGGTGCAACGAATGAAACCTGCGTATAAATACGGTTTATTTTTCAGCCAGCGGCTCTATTCACACGCTTATTGCCTTCGATGCAACCCTAAGGGGCAACGCGATTCGACAGGGGACCGGCTGCGCTTCGCGGATAAATTACGCCCGTGTATTTCCGGTGTGCGTGAAACAGCTATTAGGGGCTGAGTGGAAACGTAAGAGGAGCATTCTGTTAACATCTTTGCCGACCGAGTTCTCTACGGTCAGATCTAACGCGTCGAGTTTCCCCCCCGAATGCGCCTGCATTTCAGGCAATTTTTTCAACCCTCGTGCAGGGAAGTTGCGAAGTTACAGGAGTAAGTAAATTTGGGTCAAATTGACTTAACGCTGTCTATAGAACTACTGGCCGGGTTAAAATGATCCATTATAGTACTCGTGACGAAAGAATATACAACAGAAAATCATCGAAAGCCATTTACAAGTATTAATGTTTATCGGATAATTAAGAATATGAAAAAATTTCAGTCCACATTACAGATATATTTAATAACAGAGGAAAAAATAATTGTGACCTAATTTTAGATAAAACTGACCCAATTTCCATACAAGGGTTAAAAAGTCATGGTAGAAAAATGAATTGTGAAAATAATTTCGACATCCATTTAGACAGTATTAAAAATTCTTTATCAGTACTCTTAACTATAATAACTGAACGTGTTTTATTATTAAAATATGCAAAAGTGTTGCCACAAAAGTGTCTTCTAATTGCTAAAATTTTATCATAAAATGGACGAATTCGTAATAATACTAACACAAATTTAACTAAACGATAATTAACGACGATAAATGAACGGTTCGAAAAAAATCCCCAAAATTGTATAGCCCTGAAAATATTGAAATTTGAGTCGATGGATTACGGCTGAACACCTTTCCGGTGCTTAAAAAAAAAAGAAAAGTTCACCCCCGTTCACACACATCCCTTTACCCAGAAACTGAACCACCGACGCGCATTGCACGAACAAGAATATATACATCTTAATAGGAATGGAGAATAGAGGGTGAACTCTCGTGCAGAATTTATTAAAACCCTCCTCCCTCTAGAGCTCTGTCCGGTTAACCGTCCAGAAAGCGGTGAGCGTACGTGAATTAAAGGCAACGACGACGCGCTGAACACGTCCTATACCCGGTGTGTCAAAGGAACCATCCGGTATGGAGTTAACACGGTTAGATCCCGTCCCCACGAACTCGGTCGAGGGTAATTAAAAAGAATGACCACGAACGGCCTGACTAAATTTAGAATTCGGTGGCGAAAGTGTTTGTGGTGTAGTGGGAATGGTAATCGATCCTCTACTATCTGGAATAATCGTTCTTCTTTTAGATTCCACATTTATTTCTGAAGAATTTTATAATTAGCATAAGGTTTACTATTGTGATAGAACTCATAGTTCTATTGGTAATTGAGTTATAAAAATAATTGAATCATGGTTATTTGACCCTTTGCCTTACAATCCTTTTAGTGATTACGTATGTTAGCTTCGAATATTCACTGTTTTAATACAGTGTTAAATAATAGAAGAAATTAAAATACTATATAGAATTTCTATTTGGCAATCATCAGTCTTAAATTGAAACTTTTAGAGCAAAAATACAAATTTAATAGAAATCTAATTTTTCTTTCTTGTCTTCAAAGGGTCAATCTTGGAATCATACTCATATTTTTTCTAACGTTAACACTACCTACTCTGGATGAAAATTTGAAAAGCAGAAGTATTCACTATGAGCTGTAAATCGAATGAAAAGTAAATTTCGACGAGTATTAATACTAATGGACCACTATCTATAATATCTATTTTACGTCAACTTGAAACTATAAAATAATGTATATAATTATAGTGTTTCAATGCTATATATTTCATTACACAATTTTTTTATTCCTGATTTTCTTTTTATTTCCATTTCTAGAATCACCCCTCAAATTTTTTCCCTAAAGTGACTGAACACCCTATATATACGTGACACGTGGAACTTTAAGGCAGTCCTTCATTTAGAAAAAAAAAAAAAAGGCTTATTGATTCTGTACCACACTTCGAGTAACTTGTAAATCGATTAATTCAATAGGTCTATACCCCGGTCCATAATAAATCATTTTCTGTTTGCTGTTATTTATCCGTATTGGGAACTCCCGCAGACTCAAGTATGCAGATTTGGTTACAAGTCAAACAGCATTCGTTCCGATAATGGCATAATGGAATAATAGACATCAAGTACAGTTGGTAGCTGAATGATAATCCAACGTTGGATATTAACGTGGAATTTGAAATCGTATCAGATTGCGATTAACGCTTGACTACATTCGTCGTTTCCGGTTCCTAGTGCCTTATTCCTTGAATACAAATTAACGCGAATGTATGTATTTGATAAAACTTTTAAAACAGATCCCTAAAATTAGCATCGGCAGTATTAAACTGTATAGCTGTTATACTTCCAATAACAAAATAATTCTGTACTTCATAAATCTACAAGAAAAAAATAAATAATTCGCGGTATCTTTTGTGTGTACAATCAGAATATTTTTTCCAAGAAAAATAAGTTTATATAAAAGAAGTAATGTTAGCGTTAATTTTTATTTGAGAAAATTAAGTAGCAACATTTTGAAAATACAATAATTCATTTTAAATAATTTTATTAGCAGCAAGCTACAAGGATTTAAAAAGGCACATAGAGGAGTAACAAACTAATTACTTAGTAGGGACTTTTCTCATATTTTGTCCCTATGATTTCAGAATCGCTATACGTTGAATAAGCATTCCGTAATATGAACGTAACAAAAGAATAAAATATATCAGATTATGTA